AATGTAGAAATATCAATAGATTCACGTAAAGTTTAAAATCAAAAAACTTTAATTAACCCAAATATTAATAGGGGGTTAACACTATAGCCACTCTAATAGAAAAAGTCAAAAGTGAACGTAAGTCCAGAAGCATCATAAGAAATTTTTACTACTACTAGTATATTGCTTTTGACAAATTAAGATTTCTGCAACAAACTGAACTAGTTATGAATCAATCAAGAAAGAAAAAAACTAAATATATACAAGTAAGGAAGGGCTAAGTTCGGATGTAACCGAACATTTTATACTCTCGCAAAGTCAAATGGTATACTCGTTTGAGATTTCTTTGTGGATTGACTGATATTTTCGGTAGAAGGTGAACTATAGGCACTGGGGTCCACATATTTAGTACTTAGGGGTTTGAACAGTTTTGGTTCGATTTAGACAATTTTTGGCCGCAGGGTGGCATACTTTAATTGCATTATTCACGCAAAGTTTTACCCCGATATAGTCATTGTTACCTGATTTGCATAGTGGAAAGTGAAAAAATCAGATGGCATTGAAAATGGTGTTACATGGGAAGTAAGCGTGATTGTAGTCCGATTTCGCCCATTTTCGCACTATCATATAGAAACATGAAAATAACGTTATGCACCGAATTTGGTTGAAATCGGTTAAGCAGATCTCAAGATATGGGTTTTCACCTAAAAGTGGGCTGTGCCACGCCCACTGTCTAATTTTGAACGCGGTTCCTCTAAAGTCATCTTATACCATCTCAGAGATAAAATTTAATGTCTCTGGCGTGTTCAGTGCTTGATTTATCGCGCTTTTAGTAGTTTTTAACAGTACCGTTATATGGGGAGTGGGCGGAGTTGCCACCCGATTTCAACTATTTTCACACCGTCAATAGAAGTGCTAAAAGCATTTGCTTCGAGTGAATTTTGTTATTATAGCATTAGCGACTTAGGAGATATGCACATTAAACCTATTAGAAGCGGGACCACGCCCACTTTTTAAAAAAAATTTTAGCTGCAGATGCCCCTCCCTAATGTGATCCTGTGTACCAAATAACAGTCTTGTATCTTATTGCGGAGCTTAGTTATGGCAAGTTATTTGTTTTTGATTAATGGCGTTTTGTGGGCGTGGCAGTGGTCCGATTACGCCCATCTGCAATACCAACCGTCTCACGGTACCAAGAAACATGTCTACCAAGCTTCATAAAGATATCTCAATTTTTACTCAAGTTAGAGCTTGCACGGACGGACGGACGGACAGACAGTCACCCGGATTTCAACTCGTCTCTTCATCCTGATCATTTATATATATATAACCCTATATCTAACTCGATTAGTTTTAGGTGATACAAACAACCGTTAGGTGAACAAAACTATTATGCTACAGAGTACAGGTTACGAGAGTATAATAATGACTTAAAAAAATTGTATATAGTTTTTCCGGCAGAGAGTGGCGCAAATTCCAAAAGCATCGTAGGCTTATGTATTGATCGATTGTTAATTAGTCAATATCGGTGTGGGAACCTTAAACCATTTCATTGATCATATCACTTAAATTTTTTAGGAAATATCATTAAGGATTGACATTATGAGCAAAATCCGTTCACATTATCTACTTCAAAATAAAGAGACAAGAAAATAAAAGAAATAATTAGATAATGATTTCCAAATAGATTGGTTTATATGAGCAGTGATTTTACTCCACAATGGAAATAGGCAGTCGAAGTGACAGTCTGGTTTACCTGTCTGGTTTAGCTTGGGCTTATGTTAGTTGTAAGTTGTTTAAACCGCAGGGATATCATTGAGTTTTTTTTTAAATATAGGGGCTTAAGTGGTGATTTTTTCTCTGTATATTTAAACTTTATACTCATGCCGTATACGAATTCATGCATTAAAAAAATATTTTTGGAGGAAACTTATTACTTAATTGCTGCAAATATTTAGAGTTAACCTTCTTTGCAATCAAAATCTCTTTTTTTTTTTAATGCACAAATATAAATTAAATGGTGAAATTTAACAATTAAATATAATTTACCACGACCTCTTGCATACAGAATTATTTGCCTCCGCTTATGTTTAATTAAACTTTTCCTCAATTACGCAAAGAAACCCAAAAAAATTAAATATTACCAAAATTGAGCAATTTGCTACCCACGCATACCTTAAACAAGCATGCAACAATGAACACATGAGTG